CACTAATGAAAAGTGAATGAGTTACTAATGACAATTGAATAGGTCACTGATGACAAGTGATGTGTTCACTAACCGTTACCACTCTGAAATTTAATGAAACAGGTCAATAGTGGTAGGTGTACATTTTCAGGAACACAAATATTCTTGTGGTTATTAACTTGTTTCCTTGTCCCATATAGTATACAAGTTTTTACTTGCCACTATTAAATATTCACTTTGGGTTAGTGATTTTTTTTCTCCGTGTAGAATTACTCAATGTTCAATGGTAATCAAACTGTCTAATCAATGTTATTCAACACTTCAATAATCCTGAGTTGATTTTCAATCTATTCATTTATTAACGATCAATGAACTATATAATTGAGTGTCTGTTGCAGGTATACCAATTCAGGTAAAATATTTTATCTACCACTATCATACTGTATATCTGTCCCATATAGTATTCAAGTTTTTAACTGTGACTATTAAATGTTTAATAACCATTATTAAAGTTTTTTCTCTGTGATTGTTAAACCATACGGAGAAAAAAAATCACTAACCCTAAGTGAATATTTAATAGTGGCAAGTAAAAACTTGTATACTATATGGGACAAGGAAACAAGTTAATAACCACAAGAATATTTGTGTTCCTGAAAATGTACACCTACCACTATTGACCTGTTTCATCAAATTTCAGAGTGATAACGGTTAGTGAACACATCACTTGTCATCAGTGACCTATTCAATTGTCATTAGTAACTCATTCACTTTTCATTAGTGACTTGTTCACTAGTCATTAGTGACTTGTTCACTAGTCATTAGTGACTTCTTCACTAGTCATTAGTGACTTGTTCACTAGTCATTAGTGACTTGTTCACTAGTCATTAGTGACTTGTTCACTAGTCATTAGTGACTTGTTCACTAGTCATTAGTAGCCTAATTACATGTCATTAGTGACTTATCTACTAGTCATCAGTGACTTATTTACTTGCTAATAGTGACTTATTCACTTGTCATTAGCTAGTATGAAAAAATACCTCCATTGTTCTCTGAAAAATGATAAAACCTTGGTAATAAGACAAAAACACATGCATTCAAAACATTTTATTAAATAGGTATGATGAATCCAGAAAATACAAAAAAGGTAAGGCTGACGACAAATATTGAGATACTAGATACCGCGTATATCAGCATCATGCACCGAGAAAAACGGTACTCTCACTCACTGCACTGCACTCTGGTTCACTATCTTTTTCCTTCCAGCATTGAAGATGAATCAACTTTCATACTTTTTAAACGTCACTTTCTTCCACTTCGAGTATCATAGGGAGTTGAAAAAAATCCTGTACATAATATGAAGAAACAATTATGTACTGTTCTAGAAGAGTTTTGTATTTTATTATCTCCTTCAAGAGAACAGATGAAGAACTCAACACCCCACAGCTCAGAGCACGAGCACGGCCACAAAGCACGGCACACAAACAGAGAATTCTCATACGAATATGATATAGTAGTTGTTCGAAAGGGCACTTGCATGACTTGGAATTTTGATGTTACTAGCGGGAACGCATGCAAGTATACTAACTTCACGAATGCTAAGATCGAAATGACGCCGTGGACTCGTGGACACTGGACAGTGATCGCGTTGGGCGTGGGTACTCGAATGATATCGGAGATGTCCGAACGGAAAAGAGATCTATAACTACAGGTGAGCTGTCATCTGCAACAATCGACTTGATAGATTGTCTTTATTGATGAGTTCGCTCAGAGCAAGTGATCTTATGTCAGAAAAATAATTTAATAATAGTGAGTATTCGTTAACCTAGCACTAGTTTAGTGTTCACTTAGAATTAGCGAACTCTAAGTAAATATCGAGTTGGTTGATACCAACAAGTGTTCTGACCACTTACAGCAGAAACTTCGTTCCAGAAATATAGTTTTGCCTGCTGCAAGTACCATATTTTCCCACCGTTGGTGAAAATGTTCTTGTCACAATCGACTTTTTTTCAAGAAAATAATTTACTTGGCCGAGTTTTCTCAGTGCACCACTCTCACAGATTTACGTCTTATAAGTAATTCACCAGCCGTTTGAGAGATTTTTAAGAGAGCTATTCACGCTCAACTAATAGCCTTTATTGTAATCGAAAACATTCTGCCAGATTATCAGGCAGGGTTGCGAAAGTAGTTCAGTACTAATACGGCTCTACTCAATGCTAGTAATAGCATTGTAGCCGATATTGATGAAAACAAACGTCACCACTCTAGTGTTATTAGATTTTTCTGAGGCGTTCGATACCATTAGCCACAAACTCCTTCTCTTCAAGCTTGAATATTACGGATGTTCAGTCAATGTCATGAATGTTTCGAATTACTATTCGAACAACCGATATCAAAACGTACATGTAGAGGATGAAAGCCTATGTCTCAAAAGTGTTATATCAGAAGTAACTCAAGGCTCAATTCTTGGTCCTCTCCTATTCTTGTTATACACTCCAGATATTCTTTTTCAAATTGAACATTGCCAAGTACAAGCATTCGCGAATGACACGCATCTGATAATATCTCAGTATCCCAAAATCGAATGAATGATGACCGTGAAGTTATGAATACTCTGTCGAACAAACACAATTTGAAGTTGAATCCTGGCAAATGCCATGTCATGTTCTTCGGCAACATAAACCAATGACAAAATCTCAAGAGGCAGAAGAAGTGCTCGAAGTCATCTCCACTACTTTGTTAATGATGTAAATCAATCTGAGAGACACTTTTCGGACTCATTGAGGTCCATCTTTGGCCGTATTCAGAGGTTACTACCAGCAAAGGCGTGTGAAAATATACACATTGTTATAAGAAAACAAGAATTGACTTATATGAAGGTAAACATTATATTATTTCAAAATGGATGCCGATGTCTGTCATCATGATATCGTGATTGTTAATGAATATTGGTTGAAAAAAAAACCATCTCCTATTGAGAATGAAGGGCTCCGTGCCCTCAGAACGCGCACTTATGAGAACAAAAAGTCAAATCCCAGAAAGGAAACTCGACGAGCACTCAAAGGTACTCGATAAAAAACGTCGTGCCGTTTTGAACACGAAATTAAATGAATGAACATTGACATAAGTCAAAGTCTTGAATGGCAAGGTATCGATGAGCCTCACTGAATATCATACACTAATTAGAATCACGCCACTGCTTGTTGACATTCAGAAGATTCATCTAATGATGATTATGAATCTGGGGAAGGAAACCAATTTCCACTTCTTTTTCTGATGAACAGGAGATTGATTTCAGGACATACTTTGATAGAAATATTTCACCTCGAAATGTGGTAAGGAAATAGAATTCGTCAGTTTTCTAACTCACCCTGTAGAGACAATCGATATCAAATATCGCCAAGTGCGTAGCACTTTTTGTTTAACCGGAAGTGAACTCGGTCCCAATTTTTCAGCACAATCTGTATATAATTATCTCATTGAATTTCACGCATCATTTTGGAAGAGATCATATAAAATGTCCAAAGATGACAGTGTATCGAAAAATCGAATTTGTCCATTTATTTCTGATGATTTCGACCACGCGTTTCGCTGAGTGTCGAACACATAAATATCCGCTCCCACCAATAGTTCTGTGACACCGTAAATATCATCTCCAAGATTGATGGAGCTTGGTTAGCTATGTGCATTATCCCTATATCTCCAAGTTCTGTGAACCATTTGAAATTTCTGCATAGTTCCATGAGTTCGATTCAATACATAATATTTGGTCAATTAACGATATTGCTTTCGTGTTTCATGTCAAAACATGATTTATTTGTTGGGTTGGTGAAATGACCATCATCGTAGATTTTACCTAATCAAAAACACATTATTCATTTGGGAAAGAGATCATCATCATCGATCATATTGATTATCGTTTTTATTTTTGTGTAACAAGAATTTTTGCCTTCTAGATAGTTAACACTCTGTATTGATTTATCTACCTGTCTGCTCCACCCATATTATGAAAACCATCTTCATAACTAGATGACACCAAGCTAATTCCTCATACTGGTGGAAAATATGTTTGTTTTTGGTCGGTAGTTGATCGTATATTTTCTTCATTACCAAAGTGATTCACTGGTGCATCGTTTTCCTTTGCGTCATTCATTTCAAGAGTTGATTGTCAACTTTTCAATTTCAACGTTATTGCACAGATTCGCATTTGAATAACGACTGTTTTTTTTCATCATGATATCCAACAACATTCTACACAGGATGTGAGAACAGATTTCGTGTCTCACCCTTCTCTTTCCGGTCTCGAAGAGTGAGCTCCACGATGTCAAATTCGAATTCCATTTTTTGGTTTTCACGGCCTCAATATGTTGAATTTTCAAGGTACCTTATCACGACTTGAAAATAGAAACTGAATAATAACGATGCCTTGAGGTACGAGATCGTCTTGAGGAGCGAATACAGATACAGGTCATAGGAATCTGTGATAAAATGTCAGAATTCTTCCATGTCACAAACTTTTGCGAGACGATATCAGAATTCTGATGTGAAAAATTCGATATCCATCGGTGAATTCTGAAATTCTACCCAGAATCCTAGAGGCAGATTTTGCGAGCTCTTTCATGATGACACATCAGCGCAGAAAAATCTGCTGCTCTGTTCCTCAACACTTGTCAGTTAGATTTTGAACCAGTTGAAGATTCCAGATGATCATGCAATCAGGAGTCATATTTTGCTCCAACAACCAACCTATACACATCTGGACTACCATCACTAGATGATTCTGAAGAATAGATTTTTCTCTGTCTGCAGCATACTGTTTGAAGAGATTTATCGATTTTTCGATTTTGTTGATTGGCATGTTCTTTGTTCACCTGCTCAAGCGAATGTTCATGGAATCAAATATGAATATTAGAACATGCTGAATGTGGATCAGAATGTACATCTATCAAATCTCCCGACGAATTCTTGAAATAGGAAATGGTATAACCAATGAAATATCTCTAGGAAATAATTTTTATTTTTCACTCATTCACACAAAAACTAGTAACAATTATAAAATGTAACAACAAAACGATAGGGCATCAATAATCTGAGATATAGGGATCGTATAAACACTTGAACAATGGCAGTATATGTTGGTACCTGAGGAGTTGGGATATCGATGGAATATGTTTCAGCAACCGTGAACTGGTTGACAGCATTTAATCGAGTCTTATGTCATTCAGGTGTCACAGGTGGAATATAATATCTACTCTCACTATTTTCATCAATGCTAGGACCATCTGGTCTAGGAGTGAAATACCCAATAGGAGTTTGTGCTTCAGGATTAGAGAAAAAGAGATAATTTGGTTGTGGTTGCGAATCAGTAATGAGTGAACGATCACTATATGGCTGACTTGTCTTCGATGGAATCACTTCCTTTGGTTTTGCGGTCGAACTATCTGGTAAATATGCAGTAGACAGAGGAGGAATATTTCTAGTTACATCTGATGAGATTTTCTCACTAGAACTGGTATCTACGATTGTTGTGAATGATTTCAGGCTGCTTGATTCTTTATGATGGTGATCATGGTCAAATTGGTGTTCATCATTATGATGGTGAATCCATGGTACAAATGGCGGAACTTTGATATGATCCCCTTCTGGATGGAATCCTTGATCGTCAGCGGTGTATCGTACCTCGTAAAGATGTCCATCTGGTCCCAAGTAGGAATAGGAACCAGCCACTTTGACGAACTGGTGTGTGGAGCCTTCATTATGTACTTCACCTGTTTCCTGCCTCTTTATACCGTCACTCGATTCGAACCTAAAAACAAGATTCAATTAGTTATATCTAGGCATCATAGAAAAAAATTATTTCTGTATATAAAACATGGCTACCAAAGTACTTCAACTATTTATTAGCCGAGAAAATATTTCCTGACGTGAGAAAATAGGTGAATAATAACAACTGGAGTATGAGGAACTCCGAATGTCAATAAATATTCACGTTGATTGAATAATATTCATCCTACTATCTGATTCTCCCACAAGTATACAGGATGTCGTACCCTTCATAATTTTATTGATTCTTCTATATTACTGCTGAACGCTTGATCTATCTCATGAAATGATCTCTATTCAGTTCATCCTGAATTGGTTTGATTCCATTCATATGTTAATCTCATCATTCTCTATCGGAACACGAGAACAAATCAAATCATTCGAGATACAATTTTGTTCAAATCATGAGGTCATGTAATAAGTTTGAATGTGTAGGTATTGCATAAGCATATTATGGAGGAATTAAATGTAATGAAATCAGTATACAGCGCCACATCAAGAGTGCTATCATCAAAACTATTATTGGAAACAGTAATTCTAGTAGGTAAATGGTAGTATACAAAATAGCCGCAATAGGGTGAAGAGCAGGAATTGTTCAGAGAAGATACCAACCATTTTCAGATGTTCGACATCACATTATATGAATGATATTTTTCTGAGAATGAGCTGGGAATGACAACTAACAATTCATTCATCATCATCAACATCCGAAATTATGATCCAAATTGAGTTTGATGTGTTTTCATTACTGGAAATCAAGGAACTGTCACTGATGCGTGTCCTCTGATTCTTGAAGATTTTACATTCCTCTGAATATTTAGAGTTTTTCTTTTCATCCTATCTCTATGATTGATGAAATAATTTCAATTCCAATATAAACTGCTGATGAATCGAACCGCATCAAGCCGTTTCAATCACATTTCTGCTCAACATTCAACATGAATATTTTCGCTAAAATTCTACTTATTCGGATGCGGTTTCCTTCATTCTGAAGATTGATCCATTGGGTATATGACAGAGAGACCGCTGATGAAATTACATGGAAACCTCTGACTATAAACATATTTACATGATTCTCGCGCTTTTTTCTCTGTACGATTTCGCAATTTTTCTCGTATCTTTCCAGATTTTCGAGAAAATTTTTTTTTTTTTTTAGAAGAATGTGATAATTTGTACTACTGACCAGGAATATTCTTATTTGTAGCTCAAATACCACAGATTCCTTTTGGATGAGCTATTGTGACCTTGATTGTATAGAATCTCAGATTGCTTATATAGAGTGTTTGGTAACAATATCTGATAGATATTATTACAGGAAGACCGAGCACAACACATTGATTAACTTGTTTCGTGTTCGAGATTGAATGACAGCAACTTTCCTTGGAGCTGCAGAAAAAAAAAAACAGGAAAGAGAATATACAGGGTGATATACCAAGATTGATGGAAGTTTTATACAATGAAACTTTGAGAGTTCAGAAATGTATGTAATATATCAATGAATACTCACTCATCTCCCTTACTCTATTTCATCATTGGAATGTTATTCAGTGTAGAATATACGGTATTTATGAGAGTTATTTGATAACAAGAGTCGGTGATCTGATCGGATTTCACTCTCTTGCGTTCATCATTATAGGTTTGGACATTATTGTCATTACAAGAAGACCAATGGAGTTAATTCATATACTCCCAATAAAACGTCTCTGGTTATGGCAACTGGTCGTTGGCATCAATTTTATACGTACCATGAGCAAATATGATTAGGAATTGAATAACAGTCATCTGAGGAGTGCGTTCTTCCAGTGTATTTATTTTAATTTCCTCATTATTCATTATCAATTTCATTCAATAATTGTTGATGCAGTGATATCTCTATTATGGCGTTATAATTACTCTTTTTGTATCTGAAGCGTTCAGTTCAAGTTTATTCATGTTAAAGTTGAACATTTATCAAAACCGAATTATTCTTGGAATAACTACTCTCAAAGTTCATTTACTACTATCAAAGTATCCTAAGCAGAGAGGTTCATGAAATGAAGAATTCACAGAAAGTTCGATGTTGTTTGAATATTCAATGAAGAGAAAATGCCTGATGATGAAACATTGTTGAAACGTGCTTTCTGTTCTTCCTGATCATTCAAGTAGTTCTTGAGCCGATAATATACTTCTCACTGAAACTATATATTCACACATATTGGGATGATTTTATCATTAGAATTTTTTGATTCATGATCTCAAAAGCTTGTTTCAAATCTGAAAAATTACTGATAACATACTTGTTACTTTCCGAATCGAATTCGGAATAACACAGCTTAGTTCTTGTTTGGCAAGAATATATAAATGACAATTCGATTGATAACTATTATCAAAAATTCCGAGGTTGTCAGTATTTCATCTGTCTCGAGAGATGCATTGCTTGAGTTCAATATCACATGTTCAATGGTTTGAAGAATTTTTTCAAACATTTTGGCATTGAGTATTCCTCTTGATGGAAGCTGAAAATCAAGATAATGGACAATTTGCTGCAATTCTCCCAATGATAATACCTTGAAGCTAGTCATTTTATGATACATATTATTATTAACATAAACATTTATGCTTTCAACCAGATAGATATTGAATCTTCCATGACTAGATCGTCAATTATTGATATCTCATCATCACTTCGGAATAAAATACACTTTGTTACAGCTTTCATCTTGATGATGACTAGTTCAATTCTTTAAAGATTCTCACGTTTCTTCAGGGTTATTTCCATATCAATAATATTTTTCGAAATAATAGTGCTGTTTTTTCATTCGAGGAAATTTCTCTGTTTTTCGAATATTCCTCACTGATTTCGCTCATCAATTAGTGTACAAGATTATAAATATCAAAAGGTTCTATCATGTTTGTTCAACTCATCATAATTATACTCCGTTGTCAAATCATGATCAGTTTGATTTATACCAACATGTACAGGAGCAATATCATCAACAGTCTCATAATTTCTTGAAAGCTCTTCGTACGATACATTCGTATCAATGATATTGAAGTGCCAGTTGAATTTTTCATATTTTTGTATTATCTTCTCCTTTTTGTTGTGGAAATTTCCATTTATTTTCGATTTGGTGCACCCTCCTTTATTTCATAAATGTGAAACAAAGGCACCTTTCGCAGTAAGGCAAAAAGAGCATGACAAAAATTTTAGGATGATACATATCGCCAAATCTGAATAAGCTCAATGAGCTGAAGATCGCTATGAGAAAGGTCAAAATATTACATGATCCGATGACATACTGAGGAAACAACCAAAAAGAAACAATTAAAGAATATATCTGCGGTGTCCTGTTCGAAGACAATAACATCACTGCTTGAATATGAACATGTCGTGGATAATGCATTCGAGATAACTTGAGAAACAACCTGTTCTCAAACATTTTTTTATCGCATTTACTGATGAAACGTGCAAAAAAAAGCAACATCGACAACTAGCCACTATCCATAATTTCATTTCGAAAACAAGAGCAGATTTTCAACCAGAACGTTCTAGGTTAGAAAAACCTCCAAATCTTCAACGTACTCATATTCTTGTCATTCAGACTTTTCTCAGACAAAGAATAACGAACTATGGCTTCAGTTTAGCTCAAGATTCTTCTTTAGTTGAATTCTGAGTTAAGTGACATTTCGGAGCGAATGAGACTGAATAACTATTATGGAGATGTGAGAGAAAGATTAGATGAGGGTTCAATGATAATATTCCATAATAATCAATATTCCACCTACTTCATTAACATATAAACATTTTCTGAACATGATGATTATATGCAACAACAAATTCATAAAGAACCATCGGACGAATAATGGTTCAATTGGAATAAACAATTTCAACACTGTTTGAAGTATTTTACAGCAAGATCGCGTTGATTTCCTCTTCCTAATTGCAACTGACAGGATAAATATATTGAGAAAACATTGGGGATACAAGGAGCACTAGAGACATAATGAGACATGTGCATCATCATAGCGTCATCTCTGTGGAAAATATTGCTGTTAATGAAGGAAGTGTGACCTAAAACAAAAAGCTGTTCATCGAGAGTTTCCGTTTTCATTCTTTGTGAATGATTGTACAAAATAGACCTCTTTTGTGCAAAATGATGTATTCATTCTTCGTGGCAGATTGCTTTTGACTATACATTCATCATCATTGATTGGTCGTCAGATTGACAAGATAATCTATGAAAATATATTTTGTCCTATTGAGTACTACTAGTGTCATATTTTGTAACGGTACAAACAACTGAAACTTCTTGTATATAATATAAATATACCTACACCTCTCGAGAACATTATGCATCTTGGCTTCCTAGAACTGCTTTAGAATTCACTATCAGCTGCAGGTCCTGCACTCCCAAGCCCTGTATATATTTCGACTCTTGGGAAGTGGATTTTCAATTTCCAACTTTGGAGTGGGAAATGTGTTGATACATCGAAGTTGAAAATCAACCCCCAGGAGTCGAATCCTATGCAGAGTCAGAAAGACAGGGACCTTCAACTGATAGTCATTCACAAACTTCTTTTATGGCACCAAGACGCTGCCAGAAAAATAATCATTAGCAAAAAAACTTCGAAACAAATTCCGGCTGTCTAGCGAGTGTGAGTTCATCAGACCGCTTGAACACTGTGTCTCAATAGCGATATACGAATTGAACATGGAAAAAAAAAATCGGAATGAGAATAATACTCATCGACGACAGCTTGATTCACAGTGATGCCATAACGAGGAACTGAAATTAAATCTCTCCTCATGATGTAAGTATTAGTAGAAACAGAATGTAAGAGGACCGAGAGATTCCAGTTTTAAACGATCTTCTAGCGGTTGGGCGTGTGCCAAAATCATTCTCAGAATTCCATGTTTTTGTACGTGGGATATACTCATTAACATATCCATTTTTAGTCGAGATATCTATACGAAACAAATCTATCGGATCAGGTTGGTGTTCT